TGATTGTCGCTGTCGGAATAAAAGGTCCCTGGCAGAGCAAATGTAACGATTGTAAGGGCTTTCGTTTGCTTCTGTAAGGACTATTAGCGGTGTGGGAAATGTTCTCTGACAGAGAAAATGTTACTCCTGTAAGGGCCATTTAGCTGCAAGAACTAACAAGTTGCTGCAAGAACTAACAGTTGATCTCAGAAATGGACCTTGTGAAAGCAATTTTTTCTCCCTCACGATTAACTGTTGATTCTGAGAAATCATCTCTAGGAGAGTGATTGTTAGTTCTTCGGAATCAACTTTCGACCCACTTGAACAATTTTTGAACGGACCAGACATTATTATGCTAATCATTCGTCAGTGAATTTTTTGACCACCCTCACCAGACTGACATGGTGTACAGCTAAGGTCAGCTGTGCTTTGTTCAGTACTGCACGCATGAATGTGAGTAGGAACACAAACAGAGAGAGCATTCAATTTAGGGATGAGAGCATTTATTTGCCGAAAACAGTGCGGTCGAAGACCGGCGAGTCATGCTCGCAAACACATTATTGAAGGCCCCGTAGCGGGCCTCATCATCCGTAGTGTAGGATAATTTGTTGTGAACAATCGAATCATCTTCATTATTGTGACTAAGGTTGTAAAAGAACACTGGCCAATCGTCCTACTCTCAGTTGTTGTTTAATATATATGTATTTCCCAGGTGTTTCCAGTCGCTCAAGTGCATGACGTACAGCAAGCAGACGGCGACAGTTTTTTTTTTTTCTATCTTCCATGTGAAGGAATCTTTCAAAACAGCGCTTTCGCCACAGATCGTTGCTTATCTGTGCGATTTCAAAGCGAAATCGAGATACGTTCTTGGAACCAGCTCCAAAAAGTTGAAGTAAATTCTCTCGAACACGCTAGTTGAAGTACAACTATAGTGAGAGAGAAAATCACGTTGCAGAACTATCAGCAATTTTGCTAGTACACTATATTATACTTACTATACTCGGCGACAACGTTTCTTGACACTGAAGGGAAAGCTACAGAGGCGGAGCTTCTGCACATGCTATGCAGTACGCGAAGTTGTCCGTTTTGGCGCGCGTCTCGTAACGCTGTGGAAAGGGACGATGGCGCACCATCAGCGTTTCATGTAGACGCAGACGCCGCTCAGCGTCTGAGGTGCGCATAAAAAGGCGGGACTTTTTTTTTCTCACGCCTTCGAAAACGCGAAGTCACAACATATAATTTATGGTGTGAGCAGCGTTCCGTCTCAAATAGCTCCTCGTAGAAAATAAAGGAGGGACATTTATATTTCGCGTTGAAAATACGGGCACTACTTTGTAACTACCTTCACTGGCGGTAGGATGCACGAAATTTGGCTCCATAGTTTTCCCTTTAGTGCCAAGAAAAGTTGTTGTCGAGTGTAGGCAAAATATTAAGCCCATATGAAAACGCCACAGAGATTTCATTAACACTGTATTGACTTTTCTACATAGAATCATATGTTTTTAAATTAACCATTTAATCACATTTATATCAAGTTTCACAAGGACAATGGCCGCCGTAGAAATTTCTTTCTTCGCGTCAATAAAACGTGTTTTTAGCGAGTGATATGAATTATCGACTAGCTAGTTTACTAGTTTCAAGTGAATCAGTTCAGGGGACAGGATAATAAACCATTATCTACAGGCCTCCAAATTCTACTGTTGATTACTTATCGGTGGTCAACCTCTATGAATTCATACATAAGAAAAGATGGCAAACTGATTCTAACTGGTGATTTTAACCTGCCAAATATGAACTGGGAAAAGTTTTCCTCGTATTCAGCTCAAAGTGCTGAAAATGTCATGATCGATCTAGCTTTTAACTTTGACTTGCTACAAGTTGTTAACGAATTCACCAGAATGCGAAATCATTCAAGAAGCATTCTTGATCTATTCCTTGTTAGCAGTAGCATAGAAGAAAACATCCCATGTTCTGTACCGGAAGGTCTTTCAGACCACAAAGCGATTCTTCTTACACTTAACAATGTCTCGACCAAATAAGGCATTAAGGCTCAATCGTTACCTAGTTTCTGACGAGCACAGAATGAATGCATAATTTATATGCTGGCTTTCAGTTAAGATCCTGTTGCGAGCCTTAGTTTTGTGGATGACCTCTGGCATTTTCTCGGGAGTGTGGTTCTTGATATTGTCGGGCGTTTCGTTCCTAAAATAGGGAAGAAGTCTGAGTGCTGCATTCCCTGGATTACGCAGGAAAAAAATTACAAATGAGGCGGAACCTTCAGTGGTTGAAAAAAAAAACGAATGAAAAGGCATAATTATGAGCAGATGCAAGAAGCGATTGATAAGCTGCTTGCAACAGTTAAACAAAAATGTCGAAGATAAGCACCACTACCACAACACTGTACTGCTATACTTTATTAGATCATCTCCCGAAAGGTTCTGGAGAGTTGTGACACCGGCTTCTTTATCTTCTGACTCCTTTTTTTTGTTATTGATAAAAGTGTGCGGGACAAGAAAATAGTGTATGCGTAATTTAATGACCGTTTCAAAAGTGTATTTACAAATGAAGACGTTTGGCTACCATGCTTCTCTACAAAACTGCTTTCCTTTCCTGACCTTGCTGTTACGGAGGATGATATTCTAAATTTACTATTAAAGCTTGATATAAAGAAATCCCAAGGACTGAACGGTATCCCAAACAGCTTTTTTTTTTAAGCGTTACGCAGAATGGTGTGCGAAATATTTTCATGTTCTGTTTACAAGATCTGTTAACAAAGGAACAAGGAACGTTACCGGAAGACTGAAAAGTTGCTAGGGTGGAGCCTTTACAGAACTCAGGGACAAAGCTTGCATAAAAATTAAAGTCCAATTTCACTTACTCCAACCTCCTGCAATCTTGGAGCGTATCATTTACATTCATATGATCAGTTTTCTCGATGAACATAAAGTGTTAACATATATGTAGCATGGTTGTAGAAATCGCTTGTTGATATTCTACACGACTTCGCTTGCACTGTGAACAGAGGAAAACAAACAAATGCCACATTTATGGATTTCAGCAAAGCATATTCAATAAGGTGTGCGCGCTATGTTAAAAAATGACGTAACTGATAGGATGGATTACAGGCTAACTAACTGGCCGCCGTCAGTTCGTTGATGTGGATTAAACGTTGTCAGATATAGTTCCTGTCAAGTCTGGCGTCCCACAGGGATTCTTTCTGGGACCACATTTTTTTTTTATGTCAACGATATTGTCGCTAACTTATCCGCAAAAATAAGGCTTTACGCGGATGATTGTGTGCTATATAAAAAAATAACAACTCATGAAGACCAGGTTAGCATAAACAGGAATTTTAATAAGGTAGTTTATTGGCGTAAGCAATGGCAAATGTACATCAATTAAAAAAAACTGTGTACTTTATTTATTTATTTTATTTATTTTTTCAAATACTGTTAGCCTTTCGGCTGTTACAGGGGTGGGACATACTAAGAATGTCAAACATCAATACATTCAAATCATACAGCAATTCAAACAGCAACACTTGAACTTGGAATTGTTACTTGACATACATAGGAAACACCGGCTTTGAGGCTGAAGGAAAAACAGTGCAGTCGTAGTAAGCATACAAATAAAATTGTAATAAATTAACATAGTAGACCATGCTTACAGAAAAATATCTTTGAGCCCTTCCTCAAATTCTTCTTAGGTTACTTGTTGGTAACTTTAAAGAAAGAAGCCACTAAGATATTGCTAGGGAACGGAAGACCTTCTATTATGAGAAGTGACACAATATAAACACTTTTTCACCCATTTGTTTTCGCATCCAGTCATCCGCACAGTTTTCTTTCGTGCGTTCACTCACACAGATCGCTTATGTGCGCGCCGGTTGCTCATGGTGTGTCGAGCGGCGATTTTTCCGATGTGGACTATATTCCCCGAGTGGCAGATCTGATTTACTGGATTTCAGTTCGTCAGACGAGGATTTACTCATGAGTACAGATGAAGATAATGAAGAAGGAGCGACTTCTCAAAAGCCTACGTGTGCGGCGAGACGATTACATAGGATCGGAAATAAAGTGGACTATTCCCCAGGGTTTAGTGTTACTCTGGTGCGCTGATTACTCTGGCGCGCTTATTTCTGTATGCATGTGGGCTGTGTTTAGTACAATGCATCGTTTTTATTGATAAAATATTGTATAAATGTCGTTTAAGGATTGTTTTTTGATTTCGCTACTAACAAACCATGCATATGTAAATACGAAAATAAAGTTTTGTCAGTTTACGATCATGGAAAAAATTATAATTAAAATTGAGACACTCTTTTTCATAAACACAATTGAATGACGAATTTATTTCAGCAATAAAAAAATACTCATTTTCAAATTTCATTTTGCGGAAAATTTCGATCCCGAAAGCGTTAACCAACAACGCAGTTCGATATTTCGCTCATTTGTTATTCTCTACTTGGATTAATAAAGATCTACAGGTAAAAAATACTAGCGCAGTTGATTTTAAAGAATTCGGTGTTCTATAAAAACAAATAAAAAGGGAAGCCGGCTTTTATTGAAGTCTAACATAAAAGAATATTAAAACATGGAACCATAGCTTTTTCTGTTTTTCGATCGATTTCTTTCGTTTCTTATTTTATATTATCCCCAATTTTCCCAAAGTAATCTCAACCGGAACACATTTACCCGATTTAAAAATCTCGGATCGAAAAGCACTGAAGCCCAGGTCTCGGCAGGGCGTCACTTCTTTCCCCGAGGCGCAGTGGGCCCAAGTCGCAATCATTGGTCGTTTCGTTTTCCCGCGCCCACCGTGCGGCTGTTTCCCGTGTCGCGCCGACGACGAGGGGGAATTCCGGGAAAGAAGAAATGGCAAAAACGACGGCGCCTACAGCGCCGGTGACACCCCTAGCGACACTTCCCGAAGCATTTCCCGGGCCTTCCCAACCTCCTCGTCCGTTCCCTGCTGCAACCAAGGCAACCAGGGTCACAGGCATGCGCGGCCATGTATACGTGCGTGTTCGCATCTGGAGATACGGTGGAAATATTGAGAAGGTGCGAGTGATACCGATGGGAGCAACCTATGAGTGCAAATGTTGGCAGTAGGCGCGAACTTTCTGTTCGATTCGTCCTCTGACCGGAAAGTGAACCCCCAAGAGCCCCGCGCACACGCTCTCCTCTTGTTTGAACTCATCAATATGCTAGGGTGCCTTGGCAGGTTCTTCGTTTACGCCTAAAGCGGCAGCCTGTTGACTTAAACCACGGACGTCGTCGCTAACGTTTAGTGATGTTTTGTTTCTTAGCTATGTTCTTCGCGTTTTACTCCGCGTAGGCGTGCGTCATTCACCTCTGCCCAGCGCTTGGCCGTAGCCTCGAAGCGCATCGAGGGCTGCTATGAAGAGAGACATCCTACAGACCCGCTGTGCTCACTTCTTGGGAGTATGCCAGGTTTGTAGATTTTCACACCAGCTCGCTCATTTTGCTGTAGGTAACAGTGAATCACATTGTGCAGGTCAAACTGACCTTCAAATGTGGGCTGAAACTGATTTTACTCGCGAGATTAGTTGTCTTTCAACATAAGTGCGAAGCCCCGCCGCGGTGGTCTAGTGGCTAAAGTACTCGGCTGCTGACCCGCAGGTCGCGGGTTAGATTCCCGGCTGCGGCGGCTGTATTCTTCGATGGAGGCGGAAATGTTGTAGGCCCGTGTGCTCAGATTTGGGTGGTCGAAATTTCCGGAGCCCTCCACTACGGCGTCTCTCATAATCATATGGTGGTTTTGGGACGTTAAACCCCACAAATCAATCAACATAAGTGCGAAGTGTGTTTACAAGCGAAGGTACCTTACTCTTTTCATTATTTTATTGGTATTGTCATATTTCTAAGTGGCATTTTCCGTTCTTTCTTGTTTCGGGTTATTATGCCGCTGCGAAGCGCACATATGATTAGTGCCTGGGGAAGCGTTCGGCATATTGTGGGACGTTGCAGAGGAAGGTTTGCGTGCTTCGGTAATTTTATGTGTACGTTTCCAGGTACTTGTCGACTGCGGTGTGAAGACCACAAAAGGTGGCGAATGGAGCCGCCAAAATGGGTGGAGTCTGCCTCTGCATCCGCTGCAGCTTGTGGCCTGGTTTTTTCTCGCATACTTTTTGGTCATGTATTTTGCTGTGCTCGTGCCCAGCTGTCCCGCTGGAGGCTGGCAGATTGGTCTGTCACTTGTATCCTTTAGAAGTTCATTTTCTTGGTTTATTCAGAAGTGACCGTGCAAATGCATGAAAAAAAAATGTAGTACGTTTGTTAACAGAAAGTTCACAGTATGTGCTAATGTCCCCATACTTGCGGAGTTGCTCGTAAATTTTGTATTCTGCTATTTTAGCAGCAAGTTTTGCTAACCATGTTTCAGTTCTTGTAATCAATGTGCTTCAACACTTTGCGGAGTTGCTCGTAAATTTTGTATTCTGCTATTTTAGCAGCAAGTTTTGCTAACCATGTTTCAGTTCTTGTAATCAATGTGCTTCAACACTATATATCTTAGTCCTACAAAAGAATGATAAAAAATGAATTCAGATGTTCAAAAGAATGAAAAAAAGCATGCAACGATGCAAAGGGCTTGCAATGGTGTTTGGGCTTTTGCATATGCTAAGTTGTTTTGTATGCTACTTGTAAATACAATAATGAAATCTGTTCATTTTCCTTGACATTTATGCCAGGTCAATGCAGCTGTTGGCATTGTTCACATAGTTTCACACATTCTGAGTGTTAGCGTTGACCCAGCAGATGCTAATGTGCGAGCTAAAAACACTAAAGGTCCACTTCCTCAATTTGATCGAAGCAAGCATGCTCATGTGATTGAGAATCAATTCTGCTACATCTGTGAAGTAAAAGTGTAAGTATCAGGTGGGGGCATGAGCGATGAGCATCGTGAAAGAAGGAATGTTGCTGGAGTGACATTCCTTTGTTCATACACATTTTCGCTGCTTCTTTTGCATTGGGATAAACGGTTCTGCACGTTGCACAGTGGAAATCAGTTTTTTTAATTCACATTTCACTTCATTATACTGCATCTGTAGGCATCAGATGAACGAGATAATATATATAGAAATGATGTTTGTTTTGTACTTATTAGCTCATAATCTGTTTCAGTTGTATGCATAATTATGCTTCTTTTTTTGTGTTATAAACTGACTTTTATTTGTTTGTTTCAAATACCCTCAGGGTACAAAGACACATTGAAGTGGGAAAAGGCAAAACTTAACATATAATAATGTTAACTTAGTAGTGTTTTATGAAGCCTGTGTGAACAAAGTGATACGATAAAAGAAGAGAAAGAATTAACTTAGTATCATCTGCACTTGAGTTTGTTAGGCTTGTCATTTATGCAGTTGAAAAGCAACTGCAATATTTCAAGTTTGGACATTGTGGAGCTCCAGTATTAGCTGTTTTAGTCTTGGACATGTTAGTCCAGGTGGGCTGACTATTTAGTGTCAAGAAGGTCAATTCAGATTAAAAAGTTAATTCTTATTCAGGTCATTAATTCTGTGGAAGGTAATCTTATGTGAAAAATATGTCATGGTTAAAGGTTCACTAAAGGCAAATGACATTTTTTACCAGCGTTCAAAGTCAAAGCTTGATAAAGTCAGTGCATCACAGGAATTAGCTATTCACAAATTAAGGTAAATGTAGAGCACAATTTGCATCACCATTGGAACCCTTGGCATAACCCTTGAAGATGCTGCAAGTTCGATTTTTCGCCAGGCTATGCTCAAATAAAGTCTTTTGCTTCGGTGCACACCACAATACCGGCTGTCGGGCAGTAAAGCGAGTAAAAAGTGGGCACGGCTGCATCAGAAGAGTATTCTTGAAGGCCGGTGGTTCAGATTGTGCTGATGGTATATAGACCACTAAAATATTATTTTCTTTCAAAGTAAGCATTTTTTCAACATGAAACAAGCACTGCTAGGTTTTTAGAAGCCTATTTCATAAATATATCTTGACTTACTATTTGTGTTTAGTGGCCCTTCAATTGAATTGAAGAATTTAGTAAAGTCAATAAAATGACTAACTTTCCTGTTTATTTATAAGAGTGCTACATTGGGCAAGTTGATGCAAAGCTACACAAAGTTTCAACAAAAGTTAATAGTTGGCAGTCTTTCAATCTTCATCTTTTTTTCCTGTATTTGCACCACATCACCTTGTTCCGTATGTCTATATGTCTTAATTCATAATACGAATCATGGCTCTTTCAATTAAGTACCAACAAGAAAAATAAACTTTTTACACTTTTTAATAAGTTAAAGTTATCTTGAATGTGACATTCACTAAGACTTTGATTTTTCTAAGATTGTTGATAAAAAAGCTGTAGAAGCTTCAATAAATTTACCATTTACCAATGGCTTTGTTATTTTTGCAAATGCAGGTAGCCTTAGTTTGTTTAGTTATTTTATTAGAAAAGTAATGTTAGGGGGAAGATATTGCTAGTGTATATCGTATAATGCTATAATGTATATGGTATAATATGGCTAATGTATATGGTATACTATTAACTACAACTTTAATGTGTGCATGAATGATACCAAGGCCAGGAATTTCGCAATTGAGATTTTTTATTGTGTGCCATGGTTTTTGTTACAGAAAAAATATAATGAATGTGTAATAAAAAAAAGCCTAAGCCTTTTCATTCAGCATTTGTGATAGTGGGACTAGATTACATTGTATACGTGTACACCACGTGCTTGCAATAACCAAACAGTGAGGGTCAGCTAATAAGAGTCCTTTGTGCGTCTCATTTGTATACTAGTTGTGAGAGCATTGTAATTTGGATTAAGAAGGTATTTGAGAATGAAATTAGCTAGCATAAAATCGAGTTATTTTATCAGTAAAAAACCTGCTTGTAAAAGTATATGGTACTAACGATAATGCCAATATTTGTTTTGCAGCTGCAGTATACATCACGATAAATGTAAACACCTTGAGCATAAAAAAATGTTATACATTTCAGGATGATTCATCGGGCGCTATAACTATGATATTTTACAACAAATATCATTACCATTCAAATTCCTGTTTGGTGTCTTTCATTGCTGCTTCTCCTGTTTTCCGAACTATAGAGTTGCCACACTCACACTTCTCAGATAGTTAACTCTTCATTCTTTATAATAGGGGAAACCGGTCAAAACACTGCAGCAGTTGCAACAAGTGCATCGAGAAATTTGATCATCATTGCAAATGGCTTAACAACTGTGTTGGATCAAGAAACTACAAGTGAGTAAACTGTAGGATTAGGTACCTCACAATATTGCCAGCACCTTTTAATATGCTGGTTGTATGCATAGTACACTTCTTGTGTAAAAAATATAGTGCTTTGTGGTTTTCTTTGTCTTAATCTTTCTTTTTTTCACTTTCTGGATAAGTGAGCATGCTTTGATAGCAGTAGTACCTTGAATATGCCAAATGACAAATATGACAAATGAATATGCCCCCACACCAATACAGACACACATGATTGAACCCTCGCACAACCTTCTGCTGCTCCCAAGTATATATACCTGTCTTGTGGTTTAAGTGCACTCTTTGCCTCTCCAAAAGCAACCTGCGCTAAAACTTCTATTGATTATTCAATATTGAATCACCTATTGAGAGGTCATATGGGCTAAATGCAATAAAAAACCTGCCAGTTGAATTTCTTCCTGCAAGAGGAACAAATGTCTAGTTGCCCCGTTGCCCCACCTGACAGGTAACCATGGCAAAGCAGTGCACCAGGTCAAGATTCACTTTGACAGACAGATTTGTGAACTTTTGATTGATTTTACATAAGAAGAAATTTGTGAGAGAAAACCAGTTTTCATGCAGATTAATATATAGCATGAACCAACATGTAAAGAAAAAAAAAAGACAGTCGAGACTGAGGATCGAAGGACAACCACATTCAGAACCAGTGTGGCAGGTCTGTACATACAAACTATCGGAAATATTACTGCTTGCACTGTCTGTAGAGGGGAATGTCATACAGCCACATATACAGACATATACATGTATAGTCTAGAGAGCTAGATTGAGTACAGACATGGAAGATATCCATGTTATGTAGCTGTGTTTTTGTGAATGACACCAGCTTTGGTGCCTTGATGTCCCACCCCACGTGCTGTTCTCCCTACATGCTTCTATGTCACATATACTGGGTGTAGCAAATGCCTATGAATGACTTGTGGTAATGTATGGGTCTATATATTTAAAAAATAAAATTTCACATATATAGATATATACATCTATAGTCTAGAGAGCTATATTAAGTACAGACGTGAAAGACATTTATGTTACGTAGCTGTGTTTTTGTGGGTGACACCAGCTTTGGTGCCTCGATGTTCCACTCCAAGTGCTGTTCTCCCTACATGCTTTTATGTCACATATACTGGGTGTAGCAAATGCCTATGAATAACTTGTGGTAATGTATGGGTGTATATATTAAAAAATGAAATATCACTGTAATAACCAAATTATTGTATATGGCTTTCTTCTTTTTCTTTTTTTAAAAATGCTGAAAATCACGAAATACCAAGCTCTGTTACGGACCTAGCAGTTGAAATGCAAAGTTGAACTGAATGACTGTGCTATGCAGTGAAAACTGCTATTCAGCTACGACCGAGTTTATGAATGCAAACATCCTTGATGGAGTTTTCATATTCACCCATGAATATGCATCATTTTTCACCATTCTTGCATCAAAGATACTTGCAAGTCATATCTGTAAGGGATGTTTGCTGAATATGGTAGTTATTTCTAAAAACCTAGGATCTATTGAGCACTTGTATTCACCTGTGTGTTTAAACTGTCTTGAAGATTTTGTTTCCCTCTTGAAGAAGGCAGGGAGCAAGATACAGATGATATCAAAAGAAAGAGGAAGTGTATTGTGATCTCATTTTTGCCTGTGTGGGTGGCCGTATTGCCATATAGCACAAGCAACTCAGAAGCAGGCATTTTGTGCTCCTCAGATGTGACCGTTTTGCTTCAGTGTGAAAATTCTTGTTTACCCTTTTGCTTTGTGATTAAAATTATCAGAGCAGAAGCTCAAATTTCCCAAGATGGAACAAAACTTGACGAACACAGATGCATGGTGCGTGAAGTACCAGAACCGATGCAGATTGACAGTGCCAGAGTCTGTTATACTAGAAAGAAACCAATACATTATGCTAGCAAAACTTCATACAAGAATGGTACTTAGACAAATGATAGAGAGAACAGCGTACTATACATGACAGAGGCACTTGTTTGTGCATATGATGTTAACTCTTTTTACACCTCAATAAAGCTTTCTTTGTACTTTTGGGTCAGCCTATAAAATGCATATAAGGTTGGTTTAGGGGCTTAATGTTCCAAAGCAACTATCTAGTTCACCAAGTTGTCATGATATGTAGCATATTCATAGATGTGCTAATGGAAGTTTGGGTTCTCTGCGTATTGGTTTCTGTGGATTTTGGGTTTCTATGTGAATGTGTTTTTTTATGTTAAACGTGTTACTTATTTTTATCCTCTTCAGATACTTTGCCGTATGTGTGGCCAGTGCTCTGACGGCCTGCCTTCTGACTTTTCTGGTTTCTACTGGGCTTATTGTGGCATACTTTGCTAAAAGTACTCTATTTAACCACACTGCAGGTAAGTGAGGAATTGACACCTGGCTTATATGACTTATAACAATAAGTTGTACACAAGGTAACTAAAGCCGTGAACAGAAATGGCATATCTGACAGATGTCTGGTTAGTAGCGAACTTCGCTAAAATTAAGCACCAAGAACTTGAATAAAAGTTTCTCATAACTTATAAGGCTCTCCCATGATGGCTGCTAAGTGTAAAGTTGTGGGTTCAGTTTCTTTCTGGGGCAGAAGCATATTCACGGTTTCAGAATAAAAAAATTTTCACGTGCAAGATTACACAGTGGACAAAATTTATCTGGAGTTCCTTGCTACAGCATCCCTCCTAATGGTAGTGCAGTTTTGGCTCATAAAACCCTGGCGTTTTACCATTTCTTATTATCATGAGTGAATAAACCCGACAATACAGTGAAAGAATATGGATTAATTTGACCAGCTGGAGAGTTTTAATGTTTTTTTAGCCCTTTGCAGACCGTTGTCAGGCCTTTCGCTGTAACACAACACGACCACAGCTGCTCTGTGTCAGACACTGCTGAACAAGCCCTTTCATGGTTGATTCACGTATGCATTTTCTCACTGCATTATGCCCCATCTTTTGAAAACAAAATACAGTTCTTTTACTTGAGCTTTGCTTTCTGTAGTTTCAAACCAGAACGGACGGAATGTGGGTGAAGGTTTCAGTCTGCAAAGCATCAATATGTGTACTATCAGCGTCAAATGAAAACGAACAGCGGCAAGCTTTTGCAACGGTATAGTGCGGGCCGTCCACTCATCACCATGGACAGGCACGAATATACGAGCAGAGCTGCCGAACAGGATGCACGTGCCTGTCAATGGTGATAACTGGACAGCGCGCACTACGCTATCGCAAAGGCTTGACGCTGATAGCACATAGATATTTTTGCATTATATCCTCATAGGCAGCCACACCTGGAACCTTGTGCTTAGCAGTAAAATGCCATTGCACTCTAAACTACCTTGGGAGGCATTCGTGGTGCAGTCATTTTAAAGGTACACTAAAGAGAAATAATGACTTTGATTAGATTGACGACCTAGATTATAAGAACTCTAGTGCCATAAGTTTCTCTCTTATAAGTTCATTTTTAGCAGAGAAAATCGAGGTCGAAGTTTGATTTTTTAATTTCGTGCTGAAATCTCTATGCTTGATGTCAGAAATTTCAAAATTTATTTTTCGTATTTTCACAATATTTGCCCGATGAAATTTTTTAAAACTTCATATTCTAGGTCTATGGCACCCACAGATGACAATGTACTTAATTTTTATGGATTAGAAGCTGCGTAGGAGCCAGTGGGTGCCTTCAAAATCTATGAAGTCACAATGTTTGGTGCGAGACTCTCAAGGTGGCATCTCCACCCGTATTTTATTTTCGCGCATTTTCTTGCTTATCAAGTGCCGTGTCGTGGCAAGAGTGGTGTTTTTGGGATTGTGAAATGATACTTTACTGATACGTGAAAAATCGTGTCGCTCTCTAGTGTCTCTTTAACATCGAAAGTTCGGTCCAGAGATGTCACTTCTTTTTCGGTAGAACTCGCATGGCTTGCATTGAGCTCTCTTTTAGCTCATATTAGAGAGAATTAGGCTTGTGCGAATATTCGAATGCTTCAAATATTTGAATGAATAGTAGAATATTTGAATTTGCTTCAATTTGATTTTAAATAATCGAATATCTCAAAGTATTCGATATGAACGAACAAGTCTATATTAATTCCCATGTAATTGCTTGTAAGGGTGGTTTTGCTGCAGTATAATTGTGCTAAGCCGTGAAAGGTTCTATCCAGGAGAAATTTGCTTTGTTGTGAAGTTTCACTCCAAATTTAAATGGGCCCTGCAACACTTTTTGAGCATGGTCAGCAAACGCTGCCGATAGATAGTCGAGGCTACCGAGAACACGCGAGCTAAATAATATAGCTCAGCATGCGACCTGTAATTCACAATAAATTCTCAAAGTCAGATAAAAATTGCTGTCCTCTCAGCAATGGACGCCACCATGTCTAAAATCGCTAGTCACTGTCATTGTACCAACCATTGACTGATTTGAGCATGGGGCGCTCAGTCGTTATTCGGGCCGCTGCGGGTGGCTGGGACATGTTCACGTGTACATGCAGGATCATACTGAAAAGCCGTGTATTCAAAGGAAAAAAAAGAGAAAGAAAGAGTGCTCAAGGTCACAACACGCATGTGATGTATTTTCTTTCCCTATGCCATCTCTCCCAGTTTTGCTTCAAGCGCTTTCGTCGGGACGAGAAAAGAGAATGCAATTGCAGCATGTGGCAAATCTTTGCGACTCCGCTCATACTGAACAGATTCTAAAAATTTTTGCGGCGGGTAATTCATAAGACAATAGCTTTTTTAGTGAATCTATTCCGTGGCTACTTGAAAAAATCTTGCAGGGTTCCTTTAAATGAATATTATTATCCTCAAATCGATTGATCATTTTTTAAGCTTAAAAGCTTGTTTTGCCAGCTTATACACTCTAACAGTAATGAATAATGTTACGTAATTTACATGTTATCACTTGCATCCTACTGAAAGTCAAATCCTGCTACTTCTCCAAGTTGTTTCGACTTCCTTTGAATGGAAAAAAAATAAAAAAAGCTCTTGCATAGAGACCATGTTTAAAAAAAATATTGTGCAGATTAGTTAGGTCATGACAAATAGGTTTCTTTATATGTGATATATTCTATTTGAATTCGATTTGAAATTATTTGACCAAAATAACTATTTGCTTCGAATTCACTTCAAACCTAAAATTTACTATTCACAGAAGCCTAGAGAGGATATTTTTGTATTTTAGTCCATGAGCTGTGGGAATCACACGATATCTTGCGTGAGCAAATGACAAGAAGCTCGTACCGTGGCACGACATCACAATAAACATTCTGTAATTACTATTTCAGGGTGCACTCACACTCATCAGTTCATTTCCTAGGCTCTCAAAAGGTTAGCCTTTTATTTGACGCAAAAAAATGACTAGTGAATATTTATGTCGGTACCCCTTCAAGAAGCCCTTACATTCTGGAGAAGCTATTGCATTCTCATCAGATCTTATGGAACATAATTGCAATGCAGAAGTTTGATGACAACCATGAAAAGAATTTAAAAAAAGGGCAGAATTTTGTTGTACAGGGTGGAAAACCATAGAATCAAAACATTGTTTTGCATAAAAGTAATCTCTGTAACAACCTGTAATTCAGGGCCTATATTTTGCAAAATATAGCAGCTCGTGCTGCTTTAACAGACCTGCAATACATGATCTAACTGTTCATGTCACTCATTTGCTGGCTGTAGGTGGCGCCACAGTGTGTCCTCACCCCAAATCATTTTAGCAGTCTCCAATTAAAATGAAGCCAAACCTGTGAAGACATTTTACTGGATATTCTAATTACTAGTGTGGATCTTTATATGTATTTGCAATGCACCATTATTCTGAGCATAGTTTCAAAAGCTACCATTAAACCTTACCTTCCACACAGTGTCTGGCATTATTGAAGTTACCATCATATATTTGGTGTAGTTACTACCTGCATTTCAGCCAACACTGCCTGCTGTGCATGACAAGCGCATTGATATAGAGGAGTTGCATGAATGTTTAGAATGTGAAGTGTGTTGTAACAGCTGCATCACTGCTTGATGTGTTGGTGCTACTCATTGCACAGCTTTGTCCTATGTGCCACATGATTTCTGTGTGTTCAGCAATAATTTAATGTTGTAAGCAGTTACAAGAAATTTGACAGGTGCACATGGAATATTTTTTCAGTGGCTCAAATATTAACTAAGGTGGTGAGGGTTTTTATTCGTAAGACCAATGGACGTGCCAGCAGGCAAGATATTGACACCATGGCTATGGCAACATAGAAGTGCTCACTGTTATGTTACTGCTATCAAAGTGAACTGCAACCGCCCAGAACATGAAATGAGATTACTCTACTGCCCCGCCACGGTGTACTAGTGGTTAAATTACTTGGCTACAGACCCGCAGGTCGTGGGATCGAATCCTGGCTGTGGCGGCCGCATTTTCAATGGAGACGAAAATGCTGTAGGCCCGTGCGCTCAAATTTTGGTGCACGTTAAAGAACCCCGGGTCATCGAAATTTCCGGAGCCCTCCACTACGGCGTCTCTCATAATCATATGATGATTTTGAGACGTTAAACCCCACATAATAATCAATCAGTCATCAATCAGATTACTCCACTGGTGGAAAGATTGTCCGTTACATTCACTGAAGCCAGCCCCGTGTTTCTTTTTTTATAAGAGGTGCATTTATATATATATTTTTCTTTGAAAGTCACGAAAAGTGACCTTTGGTGTTTCTGGCAGCAAAAACATGAGTGGTCCGACGTACTCGGTCCTGTGACCGTTGATTGCTGTAGGTGGTCGATAATTTATTTGTTAGTATTAAAATATTGTTGCTCTCTTTATGGTAAAAGGTATTACTCCATAAAAATGTGCATATAGACCTGCTTCAGTAGTATGCATCAAAGTGGTGCTGCCTTTGCTTGATGTAATGATCTCATGCTCATCAGCGGGTTTTGAGCAACTTATGCAACCATGCATGCCATTTCCAGGTCACTAAGATTTCCCAGCGACATAGTTTTGCTACCTACACTTTGTCTCAGAAATGAGGGGCACGTGCTGCTACTTGGCGTGATATACATAGGAGCATTTTCGATGACTCGGCTTGGCTCGTGTACCAAGAGTGTAGCAACACTGGGAAAAACCACCTATGACGCAGGCACAGGCAACCTTGGGTGCAGATGCATGCAATGCAGTACAGATACATGGGAGGTGTATAAATCCATATCATGTCATTCTACAGCTTATTACTTTCAAAAATAGTTAAAGAGCTCGAAATAAAAAAAACATAAAGCATAGTTACAGGAATTGCTGCGAAAGCAGAATCACGACAGATTTCACAAATAACGAGAAGGGCTGGCCGCATTGCTATCAATACTAACTCAGCATTGTTGAAGGGAAAGTACATCTGTGTTTAGAGCCTTTCAGATGGAAAAACACTGCTCATAAAATAACTAAGTGCTTTTGGGAGCTGTAGCTAAGAGCCCTATGAGGGTGAGTTTTTGTCACGCTGTAAAAAATTGAGTTGAGAAAGATTCATTGCCAGTCCCTTCAAGTGCTCTTGCTTCATCCACTTAAAAGTATTTAAAAAATGGATGATTTTGGGCCTGTCTGAATTCACAATGTCGTTAGCTATACTCATTTTGGCTGTGGCTGTTTATGCTTATCTACTAAACCTGTAAACATGCTTTAGATGTGACTTGGAAGTGTGGCAGCTTGGGCTAGTCGGTATGACATGACGATAGTTATAGTGCGAGAACAGGACGACGACAAAGAGACAAGGAGTCCTTCATGCCTTTCTTGTCTCTTTGTCGTCGTCCTGTTCTTGCACTATAACTATCGTCGTTATCGTTAGATGTGGCATTTCACGTCAAAATATTAAGCTTGTTTGAATATCACTTTCTTGGTTCGAAGCTTTGTCCAGGTGGATCATAATTAGTACTGAATAATTGTGAGGTAAATTCAAATGCTAGCAAGGTTTGGATAGTAGTAGGGTTTTGTTATAGGTAGTGAAATATTTCACACTCTAAAATTAGCTGTACTTAGACTGAATAAGCCTGTATAACAGCTTTTAAGCATTTTAGAAAAATTATTGGGGTGCAGGTTAACATGCACACATTAAACTATGAAGTGTGGCATTGCAAAGTGTGGCATTGGGAAGCAAAGCGGGTTTACTGTGTTGTGAAACCACCTTTTCAGGTGTGTTACGTGCCATAAAAATATGCCTATTCGTTTGTTTTGAATGCTTCAAAATTTTGGAAATTTTTAAATTCATGTCGAAGCGAACGAGAATATTGTCATGGGTTTGTGACGTAGACGAAGGGAGCAGACTATAGGTGGAATAATAAACTGTTTATTCGGGCCGAACTTGTGGCCACGTAAAAAAAAAGTTAGCTTACACCAAGACACTGGCACTGATAGTGGTGAGCAGAGCCTCGGTCGTCAATCAACTGACAAGCTGCGAAGCGTGTTGACATTTATACACTTGCCATCGAACATTCTAGCGTTATCGCTAGTGGCGACGTAGATTTCAGAATAATGTGAAACGCTCACGACGTGGACATAATCTCAACAAAATGATCTACGGCAGCCCTGAAGCTTCTCGAACACTGTAGGCGCAGATTGTGCTGAGAATCGCGTATAGCGTAACGGGGTAATAAGAAAACTTGAGGAAGGAACGTGGCAATGTTGTGATATTCATTCGAGCACTTTTTGCACGGGGTTACAAAATATGAATCATAGTGAGATGTTACACAAGAAACATAGGTGCCACAAGAAAAAATTTTCTACATCTTTCCACTTGGTTTTGTTTTGTTTAGCCCAAATATTAAGAATTCTGGTGCAGGTACTATGTACTTTCTCTTCACCATAAGGTTAATCCCGCAAGCATTTTGCATGATGCTTTGAGCTGTTGGTGATGAGATAAAAATACCTCGCACTATAAACATAAATGGCATGTACTAGCAAGGCAGAAGTCTATGGAGGTATTAAGGCTGGAGCCGTGAGATTAAAGCTCACTTGAAAAGTACTTAAAACGGCCCTGCATCGTTTTTTGAGCGTAGTGCACTATCAGGAAATGTTGCTAATCAGTAGTCAGGTCTCCTGAAAACTTGTGAGCATTGAATATGGAATTTTATATTGAAAGCAGCAAAAACTCTTTAAGGTTTTTTTTCGCAATGCTGTCACAAACTACGCAGCAAATGGTACAACAGGTATTGACTAATTTCACAAATGATGATCTGGCAGACAATCTTGGGGACCATGTGCTGTGTTATGTAGGTATTCTTTATACTATGCCATGGGTGGCCACCACCGTGTGCGTTTACATACCCGTGGTCTGAATCAGAAGTACGGGGCCAACACATTTACAGAAAAAAAAAGTGAGAAAAGAAAAGCAAATGCCTCAGACGATCATGCATGGTGACGTAATTTTTGGGCGACATGTTCTCTTGAAATCTAACTACTGGCATGCTTATGGGGATGAAAGGAAAAAATGCTCGCCTCGTGCAACAACTTCTATTGTGTTTGATGGATTCAAGAAATTTTTGTGGCGGGAAATTCAGACGGGGCAGCATACTCCAATGTGAACGTAATATTATGATTACTCAGGAAGTTGTCACAAGCTCCTTCAAGTAATTTAATATAAACTAAGCGAAATGCAATTAGGTTAGCTGTTATCAAATTGGAAGTATGTATGTGTAGGTATTACGATAGGCATTATATAATGGAAACAAAAATGTATATTTCATGTGGTTTATCCTGCGTACCCATTGTTTTGGCTCATCGCAGAAAAATGACTGAATCAGTTAGGGGCAGAAAATATAGGTGCCATTTATTACCTTTAACTTTTAAGGGCTCAGCAATGCCACAACCTCTGCATAGCACTGTGAAGCTGTTACGTAAGCCCTCCAGTTCTTCGCTATATAGCATCAGCATTCATGGCAAATGGCTTTGTTGCACAACGCAGGGCACTGCCATGTTTTACCGCATGCTCCCAATAGTGTCTGAAGTCACCAATACTGATATTCTGTAGGTCTTATTTTTAAAATGTAAACAGCTTGGTTGGTTTTCTTGTAACCTTTTCATGACTGGTGTTGTCTGTGCCAATGATATGTCACTTGTTGTATTGTTGTGTGTATTGCATGTAATGTACTTGAAGGAATTATTTGTCTCATGAGTGTAGAGCGAAATCTTGTGAAAGCGCAAAGATAGGCTGTATGCAGTGGTATCACTTGGCTGAAGAGAATAGCTGCGGGTAGCTGAGAACTAGCACTCATACATTGGTAATGTGTAGTGAAGTCATATAAGGCTAAAATATATTCTTGGTCCACTTGTGCAGGTAAATTTCACTATATAATTTTTCATATGTAGCCTGTAGACAGGTGAATTTGGCAAGTCCCTATATGTGCTGTAAAGACAATATGTACTTGCTTTTGCAGGTTTATTTTATGTGTTTGTGCCAGTAGATAAGACCATCTGGCTCCTCATGGTGGAAATATGTGCAGCCCTCTCTCTTCTTGCTATTGCCCTTCTAAGCCACTTGCTCGGTTTTCACTTATTTCTTGGTAAGTATTTGTTTTCATGGCCGTTATTTAATGTTTCTGTCTACATAGAGAAGTTGCTTGTAACATTTAACTCTTTTAATGTGATGCAGCTTTCACACTTATCTGAAGTATAATGATTATAGTGTTCGATCGTCAAATTTTTGCTTGTGCTGTTTGATTTATGACAGAACAGTTTTGGTGTGCCTGGTCAAGAAACAATACCTGAAATTTTATCTCGTTATGTAGTGGCTCATGATGGAAATCAATACTGTACTAGCATTATGTACTTGGCCACTTTCTACCTTCTTTTGGCAGTTTTTATTTTATTGGTTACACTTTCACGAACTGCAACATCTGCGAATTCTTTTGTTAGAAAAAAAGGTTTGAGAAGTAATGCCCCAATACCACACTCATTTGACATGCTTCATGAAAGGTGTTCCAGGACACTTTTTTTTGCTTTTTTGCTAGAAGAATGACCATTCATTGCATTGTGCAAAAGGCGTGAACCCTGTAAAACACTGCCGAAGCCAGCTACACATTATGGCATGGTAGCCAGAACTAGCCAGGTACTAGATGGCACCACTTAAACATTCTGTACCGGCCACAAAGATATGGCTGTTTTTGCACAACAAAAAAAAAACGAAAAAAAGGGGAGTGAAGGGTAGTGCAAGAACAGCCATATCATTGTTGATGCATGTACAGAAACATGAGCCGACTACCCCTGCAAAGGGTACTTCTAGCCCACTTAAACATCATTGCAGCACTTGTTGGGAAACTATAAATCAACACTTGTTGGAAAACTATAAAATATCATGAGTTCTCTGCAATGTTATCATTATCCTAATTTACTCTAGTTACTATAACATTTTCATTTCTTATTTTTTTTGTCTGTTTTTCAAACGAAAAATTCACACTATTTCTGTGCTTGTATTTACCTATGTAGAAATATTCATTTTATAGTCTGTAATTTACTGTAATTTATCCTCATCTGGTTTGTCTTGTACGTGTCATAGCTACAGTATATTTGTACATAAAAAAAACTGTCAATGCACTTTTACTATAAACTATAATACATTAACCCATAATTATACCATTGAAAATGGGCTTTACTTCATGTGCTCAATTGAGATGTTTTCAATGGAGTGTCAACTCTTTACAATCGAATCTCTGACTCTCTTTCTAGTATCGCGTGTCATGGAAACGAGAAAAAAAAACATGTGAGAGGAAATTGGATTTTTATTTTTGCTTCTGCCTTTTATTCCCAAACCTTTCATTGACATTTAGGCAACCTGCGAAAATACTCACTTTCTTGGGTGCATTCTTTGACTGCTGGTGCAAGTTTCTGTTGTGCCCACTTTTGTTTTATGGCCATTCCAAAATAGCACAGTCTTTGATGCTTCGACTGGGGAGCTTGTAGAGGAAATGAGGCTTTCTATTAAGCCTTTCCTTCCAGACCAAATATGTGGATAGTTCCACTTCTAAGCACAAGACGTTATGTCTCTCACCAGCTGTGTGATCAGACTCCAGAGGTACTGCAAATATCAGTGCTCTTACTGTTCCTGCTTCAGCTGCTGCATCTACAGCTGAAGGGACAATGAGAAATGACCAGTGTAGACTCTAGCTCGTAGAACTTGGTTACTTGTTGTTGTTGCCTTGCGTGTCAGCGGAATGATAGCTTCCACTGCCGTCGTCATCTTTGGTGCTGGATTCATTTGCATAGCTATCTCCATCATATAGTGAAGACGCATAGTTTAGATCATCTTAGCTTTCGCTAAAAGCATAGGAATTATCTGCGTAGAAGGCTCTAGGTGAGACAGTGGCCATACTTCGCGGCAAGTACCATGCTTTTGAGAGCACTAGAATGCTCCTACGATTTGAGCTAAGTGCTGCACAGTAATGTAAAAGAAAGCCTAAAGTTTAGTAAAATAAGATCATTTATTCCTCAAGAGATGGTACTTTATGCATTGGAAGAATGCCCATGCAGCACAGTGGGACAACGCACGTAATTGTAAAAAGCGCTTATACTGTACAGCTGGATTGTCCCACAGTGTTTCTCGTTGGTCTGCATACAAAACTGCTTCTAACTGCTTCTAACTTCTAATTCAAGCGTTAAAACAAGCAAAACACTCTTTCCTTACTGTTACTCTTCCATCTAATTTGCAAACTAATGTTAAGAAATTTTTTAAGGTAATCAAGCATTTTTATGATAACTTAATTTTATTAAATAGCTCTAATGGACAGCCTATTGCCAAAGATGGTGCTTCAATTCATCTCAATAAAACCTTTGTTTTAAACTTTTCACTTACTTCTTATAAACAACTTCCTGAATTATGTAACTATGATTATGATGCCTTATTCCCAGTAATAATTGATACACGTGGCATTGCTAAACTTATTGATAAACTTTACTGCAATAATTCGCCGGGCTTTGGCTCAATGAACACTAAGTTTTTAAAAAGCACTTCTGTATATAGCTCTATTATACTAACAAAATTGTTTCAATAATCACTCGACACAGGCGCTTTACCTTATCAGTGAAAGGTTAAGAAGGTGATTCCACTTCATAAATCGGGTAACAAAAACTTAGCAACCAACTATCGCCCCATTTCTCTTACCAGCACCTGCTGTAAACTTCTAGAGCATATCGTATTCAAAAGCACCGTCAATTTCCTTGAAAATAACACCTTTTTTTCTCCTTCACAACACGGTTTTAGGAAATCATATTCATGCGAGACTCAACTCGTATCTTTCACTGATCGTTTGTATCAAATTCTGGATTGTTCATCATGCACTGACTGCATTTTCTTAGGTTATTCAAAAGCATTCAATAAAGTCTACCGTAACCTTCTCATCCACAAATTACAAAACTTGAACATTGACCATAATCTATTAATATGGATCTAATGTTTTTTTTCTAATCGCTTACAATACTTTACCGTGAACGGCTACAATTCCACGATGTCCCCTGATGCCTCGGAGTGCCCCAAGGGTCGGTTCTCGGTCCTTTGTTGTTTTTAATATATATTATTCATCTACTCTGACAAGTAACTTCTAATATACGCCCTTTCGCTGATGATTGCATTATTTGCACAAAAATCACTTCAGACAATGATTGTAGTTGCCTACAATCTAATTTAAATAAAATATGTAACTGGTGTAATACACGGCTCATGGAATTAAATACTAACAAGTTTAAAGTTATGTATCTACCTAGGTCACCTTACTCTTCACAAGTATACTACTTAAATAACCTTTTTTTAGAGCAAGTAACCTGATACAAATATTTAGGAATTCATATTGCATCCAACCTTTCTTGGGCAATACACAATAACTACGTCGTTAACAACACAAACCACCCCCTTGGCTACCTCAGGTGAAACTTTTTTCATACTTCGGACTCTTTAAAACTATTACTCTATAAAACTTTAATCTGCCTGAAATTAGAATGCTTCAGCTGTTTGGGACCTTCATAACACTAATCTAATTAACACCTTAGAACTAGTCCAGAATAATGCAGCTCATTGTATTCTTTCCAATTATAATCAAACTGCCTGCATAACAGTCATGAAAACTAACCTATCACTTTCATCTCTTGCAGCCTGGCGTAAAATTTCTCGTTTATCATTGTTTCATAAAATATTTCACCACCCAACATTGCATGACACGCCTATTCATTAGGTTTATGTTGCTTCTAATAGCACAAACACATTTTGTCAATCATTCATTCCTAGGACGTCGCTAGAGTGGAACCACCTTCCCCTAGACATTGTGTCTATTAGTGATAACTCCTTGTTTGGTATTGCTATAAATAACATTGCTAACTATAATGCGATTTATTCACTCATATATATTGCATGTCTATTTTTCTTGCATTGTTTTATTTTTCATGTTTTTCTGCTTGTATTCATTGTATAATACCTTCACTTTATGCTTTATAATGTTTTTTTTTTATTTTTTATTTTTTGGATTACATCCTTTACCTATGCTGTACAAACTTCTTAATGTCACCGCTCCCCTCTTTAATGCCTTGTTTGGCTCTGAGGGTACAATAAATGAAATGAAATGAAATTGAGCCACTAAAAAGCTTGTTGTGCATTGCCCGATAACGGAGCATACGACTGTGTTGTGTTCTTGGGAGGGGCTTGAGGATAAACTGCAGACGGTTAAATACTCGGGGGGTCTCTGGATCTAGTAATTGTTACTAAGAACTAAAGCCACATTGCTCAGCAAACCAGCTAGGTTGCATTAAAACTCATGGGATGTTTTAGGTTGCAGCTTGTACGTATTCACAAGACATTCTTTTTTCTCCATTTTACTAAAAATAAGTGTTACTACAACTGATAAACTGTTGCTGAAATCGTGTTACAGAACCTTTGCCTGCGTGTAACACCTGAGTGTTTGAAACCTCGTACTTTTAATATGCCACAGGTCACACGTCACATTTATGTAGATGTTGACTATGTGTGCCGTGACTGTTGTGGACATGCTGACTGCACAGCATATCAGGGCATTTTTCAGAGTGTTTGCTATAATGACTATTTTGTTTGCTGCCAACTCTTTGTCAGCAAAACACCATACAACAATATTAGATACTGCAAGATCAGATGCTCACATATGTGCACAGGAAGTGTGGCGTACTTATTCTGCCAGGCCCATGCGACATATGTTGTTGACACAGTGTTATTAAGGGTATATTGTATTGGGGAATGGGCAAAGTAAATGTATGAGCTGTAGACATTAGACATCGTGTAGCAAAAGTCTTTGACCTTTTCTTTCTTGAGTCAAAGCAGCAAACTCTAGTCCAGGCATCTTAGATTTCTCTGGAAAGAATGTAGAGTCGTCTAATGTCCAGCAAATCTCACTCTTAGATCTACAAACTGGAAAAGCGCTGAAAGGCAGGCTAGTTGGTTTGTTACTCAAAAGTTGGAAAAACGACGCAAACATTGGACAAAGAAACAGGAAAGCACTATTCCTCATGTCATCTCCCTTTGTCCTGTGTTGGCCTGCTTTTTCAACTTTTGGATTTAGACATTAAAACTAATTGTGGACATCACAAAGAGATCTGTGGTTTACTGAGCTATATGGATAATGTAGGTGAGAAAAGAGATAGCTGAGAATGTTTTCCATCTTTGTTTATTTTTCTTCAAGCTTGTTATAGTACTTGCATGTGCACACAAAATTTTTAAATGAGTAGGGCTGTAAACATTTTTAAAAATTTGTTTATATGCATAAATATTTTTCATTGTTACAGCATTCAAAGGACTGTCGACCTATGATTATATTGTTCTCAAGCGTAATGCATCTTTCCATGGAAGCACACCAGTAGAAAAGAGGAACTTATTTTTGAAGTGGTGCAAGAACAAGGTAAGCTGACTAATGTACTAATGAGGTACAAGTCTAAAATTTCACATGCCCATACTTGATAGATAAAGTATCATGCAGTAGTGTTCTGCTTCTTTGATTGATTTAAATGGACGTATAGATTGCACTTATAGATCAAACTTTACTTTATTCCATTTGATAAGAGTAATACATTTACAAAGAAACCTTAGCTTATTGAAATTGATGAAGGCAAGACGCTTTCAAGGAATAGGATAAGAGTAATACATCTACAAAAAAACCTTAGCTTACTCAAATTGATGAAGTCAAAAAAACTTTTGAGGAATTGGAACACAAGTTTAAATGGTTGTGCAAACTGCAGCACATATTTTTTAAGCATGCAATTGTATCTGCTAAACATATCCTTTTTTGAACTTTAAATTTTTCAAGTCTCAGCTGACGAATGATTCCAGAATCGCTTGTCAAAATTTTCATCGCATTCAAATAAACAGTTTATCAGTGCTCAATTTTCTGGAGTACTAATAATCTTCAATTGAAATGGAAATTTCTTTCATCACAACTTATGGCAACTTATGTTTCAGTATAGAAACCCTGCTGTGTTATTTTAGCTTCATTTTCTCTCTTAACGTAGTAGTTACAAAGTTACTTATAGAAGAAGGGACAAACAATTTTACAGAGATTGAGTCTTCAGATTTCTGTACTGATGGAAATTTCATGGCTCGCAATGTTGAGAACAAGTGTGGTTTTATTGTAGGGATGAGCAAACATATCTGAGGTTCAAGGTGATTTCAATTAGAACAATCAACATTTTTGTCATGACCTTACTAACTTACACAGTATTTTCAAGAATTGGAACCAAGGTTTTGCTAATGTCACTTTTTTGGTTCAAAGTGGTGTGCGAGCAAGTTCAAATAATTGGAGTATTTGAATAGTAATGGGGCACAACTTATATGTGATAAAATATGTTACATTTTAAAATTTGTTATACTTAGTGTGCATATAAGCCCATATAGCACACTTTAAAACTTAAAAAAAAAACACAATTAGTCGTGGTGGAGGTAATATATGTACCCTAGAAGTGAAGCGTTGTGGCGATGTTGATTTTTTTTGGATAGTTGGTTTCTTTGCATAGCTGCAGTGAAATGCTGCAGTGAAATTACGTTATCAAGGGAGTTAGATGTGGTCAAATATATATCTATTTGTTCGTTTCGAATACTTCGAAATGTCACAATCATTTAGATTTGTGTTGATGTAAACTTGTACACTGTAATAATAGTTTGGATATTTAACGCACTTGAATACTCACCCCTGCCTATTTTATTGCTTAAGGGGAGATGCGGGTCGAAAAACGCCAGTTTTTTTTTTTCAAAATTACTCATTTTTTATTTTTGCCTGTTTTGATAAGATTAATACCTATACTGTTATGAAAAAAATAATACAGGTCGAGATCTAACTGGAAATGCTTTAAAATTCCATCTAAAGAGCACAAGGTGCCTATTAAAGGTTGAAAGTGTACAGTCTTCGAGCACCTTGCCGCCGATAATGCACCGCCGCTCGCCATTGTTGATCGCATGAGTCGAAGATTCGAGCCTCACTCTTCAAATACCGACAGTTTTTCTCACTAATGCAGCACAAGAAATAATAAAAAGAAGCACTCTTCTGCGTGTTTTTTGAGCGCCGCGACTGGCTTATCACATGGTATGAATCGGGGACCGCCATTGGCCGCTGCGCTCCTGTATGTGCTGTGAAACCTATTTGCGGTGTCAATGTCTTGTCGAGCAGCACAGCTGAACAATGCTTTTCTCGTGTAATTATGTCCATTATGAATGAAAGAAAGGCATCGCTTGCAAGTGAAAGCCATTGTGCGGCGCGCTCTGTAGGAATAGGTTACGAGCAGCTAGTCCGATTTGCGGCAGTTGTTGGCTTGCAAAAGCCAATGCATCAGAAGTCATTCACACCCGTCAGCCGGAAAATTCTTGATGTGGCAATGGATGACGTCAGCGCCAATCTTGAGAGGTCGAAAGAGCTCGCAGTGAGAGAACTTAGCAGGGACGACATTGCCATTATGTACGACGGTATGTGGCACAAGCCTGGCTGCAAAATGGCATGACACTGGACTTAGTTTCGATTTTGCAGTCCTGTCAAACTTCTTCCTAGCTTGCAGTTGGCACAAGGCTCTGCTAGATGGAGCGGAAGTTTGGCAAGCGTTTATGGCCCTGTCTGTGAGCGAAATGTCTGTGAGGAGTTGGCTCAAAAAAGCCGAGAAGGACAAACTCGTGGTGCTGGTGTATTTTAGTCGCAGTGGCCACTACAAGAAGGATTGTTCTTTTTGGTGTGTAAATTTCATCTGATTTAATGATATCTTTCATAAATAAAAACTCAATTTTAACTTTAAAACTCGTTTTTCTCAAAACACAAATTTTGCCATTTTTTCTAATGTGCCCCTCCTTTTTTGGGCACTTCTAGTGCTCGGATCTGCATGAAATGTTGCCCTAATTTTTTCCAAAGTATGAAAAATGCAATTATCTAGTTTAAATTTCAATATTTTATTGTATAATAAAAAATTGTATGTATACCTTTACTAGGGTAAGTGAAGTATAGACTTTTTGCGTCTATTATTTTTCACACGTATTACATATTTTGTATGTGCTTACTAATTAGTTATTTGCACTCTACACTTTATTTTAAGCATTATGAGCTATGAATGGTAAAAAATTACAGAAGTTTAGGGATGAAAAGAGGGGGGGCAAAAGGGTTAAGGTTTTCACTTTGTCATGTTGCAGAGCTAAAAGTGTGTAACTTGCAAGAAAACTAATTATATATTTGAAATCAGCATAAAAAGTTCCATAAACAGCTCAAGGTTCATTGCTCTAGGGTGAATATTAAACAAAAAAGTGTCTTCGAGTAGCATCTCCCCTTAACACCTATTTCAAGGTAGGTGCACTGGTGTCTCTTATACCCATTTGTCTCTTACATCAGTGTCTTTTATTAAGCCGTTTGGCTGTATATAGGTATTCTCAAGTATTAATTCATCAGTGAAGCATAAACTGTTGTTTGTCTTTAGTGGTCATTGAAATTAAAAATTGTACATTTATATATACATTGAAATTCACAAAAAAATTATGTCGGGTCTAACTCTGCAGTAAAACTTAAATTCATTCCTTGAAGACTATGCATGTTTCATTGCTACATGAATACACAGGCTTCTGCTCATTTTACGCTATTATCTATAAGTTCACCACACTAGTTCAATAAAAACACACGCATTGCACTGTCAAATGAAAGTCATTGGTTTAACATCATTCGCAACACACTTGCCGCTTGTGTTTTACGTGCGAGCGGGTGTGTATCTAGGGCCAGCTCGCTGGCTTCAAATTCGGTGAATGAATGAGAAAAAAGGCATAACACACAGGGAAATCGGGCGCGTGAAATACTTTGTAAAACAGAAAAACTATAGTGTTTTCATAGTAAAATGTCACTTGAACAAACATAAGTTGAACATACTATTCAGTTGTACGAAACTTTTTTTAAATCCCTCATAAAAGTGCTATTGGAACAATTGTTATCTGATTTCAAGTTAACAAAATTCAGTGTAGAGCAGTCTTCACCTCTACGAAAATATTTCATGGCACCTTCTAGTGCCTCCTAGGTCATGTTGGTCGCTTCATCAAGTACAAGCTCCCTTTGTGTAGCATAGTTTTGCCATGTCCTTTGTGATCAGCTCCATCAAAGGTGCACCACCGGAGCTAATTGTGAGGCCACAATTGCCATAGTGACAGCTGCACAACCTGCTACCGCGTGATTGTTATCATGAGTGGCAAATGGAGGCACATGTCTCTCGACGAAAGGCTGGATATTTCGGGTAGAAGCACTGATGCACTTGAAGATACTGAAGTCCTTTTCTGCCCAGCAGGGTTGTAGTGAAGAAAGTTCATGAAAGCTTTGACAACTAAACTCATGACCTCTGCAGTCATAAGTGCACAAATATAGCAAAAGATTACTGCATTCTTCACAGAATGCTCAATAAGCATCAGTTCACATACAAAATAAGCAGCACTATAAGTTAATTGGTTCAAATTTAGTCTGAACACCAGATCTTATGTTCAACTTGTACAACATAGCTGTTTTAGTGAAGCAAACTTTCACTTTAACAAACTTTTTTCTTAGGTCTGTTCAAGTTCGTTTGAGTGAAATTTCACTGCAACGAGAACTTGGTAACTTGCAGGTATCATTTATTTTAACGAATGATGGTACAGTGAAACTTTGATTGTACATCCCCCAGTTACACAACGACCAGCTTTTTACGATGGATTGGTTTGGTCGCGATAAAAATCTCATAAATATAATGTATTAAAAACCTTGGTTATACTACGCAGTTTTACGCCGACCCTGTATCTTGCGACGACATTCCAATTCTGTCCGAAATTAAAAAAACACCTTTACTCGCATCGAACGTTGACAAAATACTCAGGAGTGCTAGATATGAACAGGGGTTCTCCTCGATTGGTAATTAGAAAAGTAAAGATTGAGACAGGATGTCTTCTTAGAATAGAATACTCTCCTGGCAGTTCATGCACTTCTGCGTACGCCTCGATCGCATGCATATGCAGGGTCTTTACCTCGAGAAGCTCCAACCAGATTACCTTCACCGGGCTGAAGAGCTCATTCCTGAGATCCTAATATTTTCATGTTTTTGGTCTGTGGAAACTTTTCCTGGTCAGCGTACAACTGATCTCCTGCTTTCGTTTGTGGCAGTCACAGTCATCAGCTTGAGCATGCAAAAGGGCATGATGCAGCTATTTTCACCATGGGAAATAACTTTCACTTGACGTCAACATTCATTATTACAGCAGCACATCACTAGTTGAGCTTGGTAAGGCAACAAATTACAATAGCTCAGTCGAGCATGAAGGCATTCTATGCCAATTCGTGAACTCGTGGTTCGTCCCCATTATGTGATGGCGATAGCACTGTGTCTATTTCTTCTGACGGTAGGCTGTTGGCAGGGCAGTTTCGTTCTAATTTTCGTGTGCATGCAATTTTCGGACTCAATTTATTAGGAGAAAGATGCACGTTGGATTCAATATTTTAGAGTTGATAATAAAAATTCTCTCGTACTTGCTTCAACTAAGTAATGCTGCCATTGGCAAGAATAATTTAATCTATCTTCCTTAGAGAATCACGGGGTCGTGTCATGGGCTTATTCAGGTGGTCCATGCCCGTTTCTTTTTTGTTCAATCCTGAATGCCACTGCCTGTATTCTTAGTTTTTCGATTATACGACGGCTTTGTGTGGTTGGTTCCCTGAAAGCCGTATAATCGGGGTTCCACTACTTCTACATTCCATGAGTTCATATTTAGGTTGTTACTACTGCTTTCCCTTCGTGCCTTTGATGAGAAGTCACTGCTGGGAGCCACAAGATTCTGCTGTATTATTGCATCAGGTGTTTGACAATACATGAGACGCTGGTAAATAATAAAGTGCATCGAATGCACTTCGCTTATTTCTGCATTATGAGGGTCAATGTTCAAGCTCACCATCGTACCACCATCTTTCTATGTCGCTTTTCAATAAGTGCTTTTCACAAACGGGGTCACAAGTTGTGAGCTTAGAATGAAAAATGTGAATGTAATAAAATGTGAAAGAGGTCATGCAAAGCATAAAGCTGCTCGGTTATAATTTTCAACTCTTTTATTGGTTTTCAGCATGCCGATTTCCAAATAATCTGGCACAGTATTCAGGCTATATGTAAAAATATCCGTTAGAATTTCTAGAAATCTTGCAATCCTTGAGTCATCACCAGCCGTCATAAACACTAGCGTAGTAATGTCATCAGAAGACATTTGAAATCCTAAATGCATCATTGACCTTTGCTTGCTTTAAAATAATAAATTTATATGAAAGCTAGTAAGTAATAAAATATTACAGCAATTTTTTTACCTCACAGTAGTGCTCGAAGTCCAAAAGTCGACTGCATTCTAACACTAGGAAAGAAATATGAGAGCTGTCCGAATAGTGTATGCACCAGTTTCTTGCAGTATCTCAAATATATTTCTTGATTCAGGGCGATACACGTGGGCACACGCAGTGAAGGCTCGTTGTGTAATTTTGTATAGTGATCAAATCACCTTTGCATGCATTAACATTAGATGGTTGGCGCAGGTTGTGTGCGTGACATCTTTACGGCACCGCAGTTGAAATGGTATGATGCTCCAAACCTCAGTAAAGTAGGGCTTCGCAGACTCTTCTGCATCGGGATGTTTTGTCGACGACAGAGACTTTTGATTGGCTGACTTGAGATTACGTGAGCTGTAGAGTTGAAGGGAACTCGAGCTGGGGAGTCGCAATAGTGCTTTTATATATATTAAATGATCCCGGAACGTGAATTGAGTCGAGGTATAGTATTGAATGGACGGCCAGGATTTTGAATAGAGGTACTCACGTAGTTGAAAATTTTCAGGAATATTTCATAACCCTTTTTAATTGTCCCTTCCATTATCACTGGGATGGTGTGAATGTTTGCTTTGTAAGTTCCCCTTTTATATTTTGTGTATAGTGTGCCTGCGTTATATAATACAGGTGTTGTGCTATTTTGATGGCTGCCTGCATGGTTAGTATGAGCTGTGTTTTTTTCACAGGTCAACCAGGTTTCACCTGTGCAGCAGAAAGCTTCAGCAGCTCAAAAGACTGATGCTGTTGACGTTGCTGGAAGAAGAAGTGTCAAGTAAGTAGCCATGTTATAGTCATTACTGCTTCTAGGAAGTTTGAATTAATAGGTTATTTTCATGTGAGGTGTGATTTTTATCATGAAAGGCACCTTCAACTTCTCTCAGGTGTATAGTGTGAGTAGCCAGTTTATGTAAATTTGAAACATTTCAAGACTTCACTACCAGTCCTTGCAAAATTTTATGGTATGTATATTTCGTACTGTCAGTGCTGCAGTCCTCTCAGGTAGATGTCCCTTAAAGGGCATGCCCCTAAACCACTTAGATGTTGAAATTTCGTTGGGGTGTTGCAGTTTTGCACAAGTCTTTAACAAAACATGCAGCCACGAGAATGTTTAGAAAAGGAGCCGTAATAGCTTAGTTACACAAGTTTCATGATCTAAAAGACGCTCGCACTCTATTCGCTATTCGTATTTCTATTGTGCTATTTGTTGGCTTGTCTCTCCATGCCAAGTGCTTCGCCTCTTTGTGCGAGGAGGAAGAGCAATGAACACTCCTAATTATGAGCAGACTACTAACAGGATCTCTTTGTGGATTACATGACCATGTGCAAATGTGGACATCACAGCCAAAACAGGGAATTAGTGAAAAAGCCTAGAGGGGGCAAAGGATTGTTTCTTGGAAAAAGTGGCATGCCTCCAGCTCTTCGCACTGTTTTGTTTGGCGTAGTTGATTGCCACGGTATTCTGAAACTGACGCATGCATTTACTTGAAATGCTGAAAAATTATTGAAGGTGATTTAGGGCTCTTTAAAACTATGTTTTGAGAATTTCTCTAAGACTTGAGTTGTTAAATGCAAGAGAGTGTGTTACCTCCCGTTTGAAGGAAACAAATTATGTTGCTTCGTTGGGCAACTCGGGGATCTAAACAGGGTAGAACAATTGTAGACTCATAGATTGGGCATTTTACATTACACAAGAAAGTTATAGAAATGAGAGGTATCAGTGTTATAGCATTTATCTAAATACTTAACAAAAATGTGTTCCTATTATTAATAAATGAATGAATAATTTATTTATTTAGCTATATATTTTTCAGTAGGCTCTGAAGGAGAGAATTGAGTAGGGGTGGTTATAGTTAAACAACTACGATAAAGGCATAAAAAGGAATATCACGCGAGGCAAAATAACGGCTAGAGACATTATAAGCAACTAAGCTTAAAAAAACTGTATACACACATAGTAACAGCAGTGATTATACGCCTGCGCCAAAGTGTGCCAAATCATATTTACTACACTATCTTAATAATGTCAGTAAAAATTGTGTCAAACTGCACCAAAGTCTTGGCTTTTGGGGCGTCTGTCTCCGGCAATAGCCACGCCGGTGTGTCAAAACGTGCAACTTGCTCTTGGGGCCGCCAAAATCACAACCATGTACGAAGAATTATTCTGCTAAATTAAGAGCGGTCACACGTGCATCGCAAGTAATGCACGATGCTATACTCGGTGCTAACACAGTTTCTACTGTGTAATTCGGCTCAACGGCAAAACACGCTCTCCGCAGGGGCTTGTGACGAGTAGGCCAATCGGTAGCGTGTAAACGTGGCACCGATTCATCGGTGGACATTGTTCATTCCGAAAACACTGCTGTTTGCTCAATTCAAAAGTCGCACTACACGTAACTAAACCAATAACTTATAACTGCATGTGTGCTGGCAGAATGTCCGTCATGTTCATTTCTGGACATAGTGAAATGAAATCTGGGAAAACCATAGGAATAGATATAAAGAACAATATAGAATTTTTCATGCTTTGCGTCCACAGAAAACCACGTGACGGTGGGAACGCATTGACACTTTTCTTCAAATATACATTATCCATGGATCTTCATCCAGAAACTTTTTTCGTAATTCCTTTCACCAGCACATCTGCATTTTCAATCGGTCTTCCTGTAAATGGCCCTGCCCTTTCGAGCTCATGAGTGTTAGGGTCCCAGTTCAAATTTTTCGCTTGTTTTTTTTTTAAAGTCATCTCATTAATAGACGTATGCCTCCAAGGCAGAGAAGCCGCAATTCTTCTTTAATACGTGCAGATGTCTGTATCGGGCCCATCGCTGATTGCCGCAGTATGCCCTAGTGTCGGAAGGTTTACTGTGAAGAGGCTACATCATGTTATAAGTACGTGCATCGCTTTCCAGAGTCAATAGTTGATGGCTTAAAAATTTTTAAAAAATAAAGAATGTGGTATCATATTTATTGCTTCATGACGTCGCTTGAAGGGTGCAGTCACTAGTGTGGGCTATCTCAAGGCATCATGAGTCTAATCGTAAACTTGCTTTGCTCACAACGTTAATTTACTTCGCGTTTGGAGAACTGACTTCACGAAAGCCGCTATGGCATCTAGAGTGGCCATATTCTCTTTAACCAGTGTTCTGTTGATTTACGTGAGATCGGATTGAAAAGAACTGCTGGCCTTATTTTATATAACAATAAAAGTGGTTAGTTTTGCTTAAGTTCTTTCCAATTAATGTGATACCTAATGTGATACCAACAAATTATATTCCTATATGAAGTAAGACTTGACATCATCTGTGAGGAGCGCTAGTGGCGGGGTCATCAATTTGAAGGTCCATGCACTCGCCTTCCACGCAACACACTTGCTGCACACGCTGTGTTCTAGATCCACACAATAACTTGGATGACTAGAGATCTCCGGAATACCTCTTGCACATTGTTGATGTGCAGCACGAACGGACCTCCAAAATGGCATAACGATAATGTTGCCACCTCACAGTTCAAGGATCGATGTATATATCGATATGGCAGCCCCGTATGAATTAGCCCAGTCTGACAAGTCGTAACACGGATAATGCCTTAGGAAAACTATGTAACGATTATTAATGTTCGCCGTCGCGACAGCCCATCATTTGCAGTGCTTGACAAGCTGACTAAAAAATAAAACGGATTCAATCTTGTGTGCAGCGTTCACATTACCATGTTGGCAAAATGCGGCCCTGAAAGCAACCAATTATTTTTCATTGAATACTACAGTGACTAGACGTCAAATGGATTCACTTGCACATAATTACTAGCGCTTGCTGCACAGACGCATGTGTGCCCTAAGGCACAAGAAAAATACAAAGGATGCTTACACTAGCTAGTATATAGTGCGCTTTGCGCATTTCATCACATACTGCAGCAAGGTATACAATGACACAGTGCTTATAATAAAAAGCACAAATACTAGAGACAAACGTTTGCATATAGTGGAAATGTGTAAGTGCAACACACACACAGAAGGATCAGAACTGACAAAACTATGGTGACCCTTGATCAACGCTGACAAAGTGATCACCGCGTGGTACAGTCAACACAACTCCAAAAAACCGCTCGAACATGCTCGTCTTGACTTGTGACACTTTCCACAGATAAAAGCGATCAAAAATAAATGTCACATCTTAATGTCACCAAGGTTCTGCTCGCACCAGAGAACATGCCGCACGCACACCCGGAAAGAGAGTATCCATGACTAACCGCACTACATGCGAAACTGCCAAAACTACGGCATCATAATGTTTGACCACCGTCTGCAATGTTGTTACCTGTAGATAAAAAAATGGAGCTTACTTTTAATGTAATATTTTTATTATAAAATACATAATTATTTTTTATTTGTATTGGAAACCATAAAAAAAAATACGAAACTAATGCTACTGAGATGCTGCTAAAGCTGTTCTCAACAAAAATGCCAGCACTATGCTGTTCGTGGCAGATAACGAGTGCTGATTGAAAAAAAAGCCCCCTTCGCACAAGAAAGTAATTGACCATTACGCATTAAACGTTAGGTACTTGCACAACGGCTCAGTATGACGCAAGGGCCAGTAGATTCCGTGTCATTTGTGCAAAAGTATGTGGGAAATGTCGAATAAAACTTTGCTTTCTGCCAGCGATATTTTTGCAATCCATTCATATGTGCTACCTTATACTGTATCATGGCTGTTTCATGCGTATGCTTTTTCACACCATTAAAATTCATTCAACCGATGGTGTTTTGCATGACAATTGTATACATAAATATACGCTTATACAAGTCGCGAGTAAAGGAAGTGGAAGCACTTAATCACTTCCAATTGGTTCCAATTGGTTGAAATGATACCATTTTGTAATTTCAGTTGGTCCAAATGGTCTAGTTAGTGAACCCATTTGGCCCAATTAGAATTGAGCACATCATCTTGAACCATTTGGACCCATTGATATTTCCAAAAGGTTCCAATTGTTTTTTTTTTTTCATCTGGGAATTGCAAACAATAGTCTGAAAGCACTGTGAGAATGCTCTTGCTCCAGCACAGAGAGGCCTCAGAGAGAGGGAAGTCTCAGAGGTGGTTATGAGGCTTGACAAATGACGTCATGTTAGGCCCAAAAAGTAATTGATCGTGAAGAAAAATAACCTCTCTTTCTCTTTGGAGGTGTCTTATCATCATTATCATCCTGACTACACCCACTGCAGGACAAAGGCCTCTCCCATGATCCACCAGTCGACCCGGTCTTGTGCTTGCTGCTGCCACGTTATACCTGCAAACTTTTTAATCTCATTGGCCCACCTAACTTTCTATCTGCCCTTCATGCACTTGCCTTCTTCAGGAATCCGGTCAGTAACCCTTAATGACCAGCGGTTATCCTGCCTACGTGCTATGTGCCCGGCCCATGTCCATTTCTTCTTCTTCTTAATTTCAACTACAATATCCTTAACCCCGGTTCGTTCTCTGAACCACTCTGCTCTCTTCTTGTATCTTAAGGTTACATCTATCATTTAATTTCTATCACTCGCAGGGCCGTCCTCAATTTAAGCAGAACCTTTTTGTAAGACATGTTTCTGCTTCGTAGGTAAGTACTGGTAAGATGCTGCTGTTATATACCTTCCTCTTTAGGGTTAGTGGCAGATTACCATTGATGATTTGAGAATGCTTGCTGAATGTGATTCACCCCATTTCTATTCTAGTTATTTCACTCTAATGGTTTGGTTCGGCGGTTGCTACGTGTCCTACGTAGACATACTGTATT